ACTTTTTGATGCCTCGTCTCCCACGTGGTCAGTGCTCTGTCTTCTCTCCTGAGGATGTTTGTTAGCCTAGACTGTTTGGTAAAGTGTCTGCCACCAGCCAACCGGCCCTGGGGATGCAGCCATGCCTTTCTGGTGGGGAGACAAGACATTTCCATTGAAATTCAGCAGAAAAACTAAGATCCGCCACATGGTCAGGAGACCGGTCCCTGGAGAAGGACATCATGCTAGGAACAGTGGAGGGGCAGCTAAAAAGAGGAAGACCCTCAACCCGATGGGCTGCCACGGTGGCTGCCACAAAGGGCTCCGACCGGAGCCGCTGTGACGATGGTGCCGGGCCCAGTTGTGCTCTGTCCGGTTGAGTCAAACCAACTCCACTGCACTGATCAACAGCAAGACCTCCCACGTGCTACGGAGATGGGGGAGCAGGGATGAGGAGCCCTCTGGGAATACCATGGGTAGCAGGCCAGGGAAGACCTCTCCGAGGGAGATGAGGGGCTGCTGTGTGGATAATGAGGAGAGAAAGCCAGTGCCAGGACCCTGGGGTGGGCCTAGCTAGATGCTGCGGGCCCAGAGGAGCAGAGGGGAGAGGGCCACCAAGGAGGCCGTTGCCTGGTCACATGGGCCCCTGACAGCCACCGCAATGATTGTGGGGTGTAACGACATGACTTAGGATTTTGCAAGGCGACCCTCGGTGCTGTGGGGGAACCTCCCTGGGGGCCAGGACACGTGCAATGAGACCACTTGGTGGGCTACTGGTCCACCTGGGTGGGGATGGGGCTGCATCCTGCAGACGGTGCCGCTTCAAGGAGCTGCTGGCCGCCGGACAGGGCCTCCTGAGTGGGGGAGGGGACTGGTGAACCCAAAGAGGCTGGGTGGTGCTCGGTGCCGAGTGTAGGGGGCAACAGGGCCCAGGGTCACTCACGTCCTTCCTGAGGGAGATGTCCACCAGTATTTGTTGTGGAGCTCCAGTGGCATGGTGGTTACATGCTGGGCTGCTAACCGCAAGGTCAGCAGTTCAAAACCACCAGCCTCCTCTCGGAAGAGAGGGGAGACCCCTACTCCTGTACTGATCCACCATCTCGGAACTCACAGGGGCAGTCAGCCCTGTCTTATAGGGTCGCCAGGAGTCGGCATCGAGAATGGGCTTGTGTCCACCCCGGGCGCCGACCAGGATGGATCCAGCCTTGGCGCTCAAGGAGTTTGCCACTTAGAGCAAATGAAACACACCAGCAGTCAGGACGGAGCGAGGGGTGCGCTGGGGGAGCTCTGGGAAGGGCCCCCGGTGTGTGAGCCAGTGCGGAGTCCCAGAGGAAGTCCCAGAGGGGCACCTCAGGCAGGAGAGGGGCAACCATGGAAGGGTGCCAGCTGCCTTCTGAGCAAAGGAGGGTCAGGAAGGGTGGGAGGGGAGGAACGGGGCGAGGGGTGGGGCAGTGAGACAGAGAGACGTGCGAACCTGTTGGTCTGGGGGCAGAGATGCCCCCCCTGAACTGGCACTGGGGAACATGGAGCAGGTTCTGGTGGAGAAGGAAGTTGGGGCGGGCCCAGGGTGGTCTCAGCCCAGGGAGCTGTCCAGGAAACGGAGACACCAGGCAGAGCGCCGAGTGCAGGGGGCGGAGGTGGTGGGTCACGGCCACACAGCCTGGCCAAGAGCAGGGTGCTACTGTGAGGGGCTTGCTCTGGCCTCAGGGATTTTGCGTGTTGGCGGGGGTGGGGTGGGGGTGTGTGTGTCTGCGAACGACCGCATGGAGTCTGGCCCGGGGCTGGCTCAGCATCTGAAGTCTCATCTGTCCCTCCTTCGCCTGCACCCCCACCACCCCCTGCTTTCCTCGTGGGCCCTGCCCTCTGCCTGCACTTGCTTCCAGCCAGGCCATCTGGGGTGGCCTCCCCTGCACTGGGGCTCCCTGTGTGCCGACCCAGGCCTGGGGAAGGCTGGGAGAAGGTGGGCCTGGAGCTGCAGGTGACCAAGCATGGGCCGCAGCAGCCGCAGAAGGGGCATGAGCATGCACAGTGGCCACCGCAGCAGGGCCTGCTGCACGGGGTCATTTCTGTCTGGCCCCTGGTACCCAGACCACAGTCCCCACCTTGAGTGGCTGCAGTTCAGTCAGGGGCCTAAAAAGGCCAGTCAACAAGCAGCATGGCACCCAGCCCTCGGAGCCGAGCACAGAACTGCAGCCACGCAGGCAGGGGTCCCGCCTGGGTCCCTAGCCCTCCTACCTCCCACCTCTTCTCTGGGTGACCTTGATGCAAGTGACCTCTCCCAGCCTCGGTTTCCTCCTCTGTAAAACGGGAACAAGAAGCGGGCAGACCTCGTGTTCTGAGAATACGGAATGACCTAAGTAGTCACAGTTTCAGGCGCTACGGCTAGAATGGAATCCCAAACTCCTAAGACTCCCAATAAGGAAATGTTTGCAAAGTCATATATCTGATAAGGTTTAATAGTAGAATATATTGAAAACCTTTTACAGCTAAATATTTATAACTTAAATGGCCCTGATAAGGTCCAAACTGTAGACTATATAAAGAATGCTTACAATTAAATATTTGCAAATCATTTATCTGATAAGAGTCTAATATCCAGAATATATAAAGACCTCCCGTAGCTAATGTTTGCAAAGTGTCTATCTGATAAAGGCTTTGGGTCCAGAATATAACAAGAACAAGGGCTACTTAGTATACGATCAATAAAAATGGATGGATGGTTGGGTGGGTGGATGGATGGATGAGTGAGTGAGTGGAAACGTGAAGGAGTGGACAATGGGTGGATGGATGGATGAGTGGACAGATGGATAGGTGGGTAAATGAAGGGATGAATACATATATGATGAAAGGGTAAGTGGGTGGGTGGGTCAATGGGTAGGCAGATGGATGAGTGGACGGATGGATGGGTGGGTGGGTGGGTGGGTGGATAAAGAGATGAATGGATGGGTAGATAAAAGAATAGGTGGGTGGGTGGATGAATGAGTGAGTGGAAACGAAGGAACGGACGATGGATAGATGGGTGGATGGATGGATAAAGGGATAGATGACAGGTGGATAAAGGGACGGATGAGTGGACAGATGGATGAATGAGTAGGCAAATGGATGGGTAGATAAAGGGATGAATGTGTATATGATGAAAGGGTAAATGGGTGGGTGGGTGAGTGAATGGGTAAGCAGATGGATGGGTGGATGGATGGATGGTTGGATGGATGGATAGATAAAGAGATGGATGGATGGATGGATGAAGAGATAGATGAATGGATAAAGAGATGGATGGATGGGTAGGGAAAAAATGGATGGGTGGCTGGCTGGATCAATGGGCAGTGTGATGGGCGTATGGAGCAGAGGAAGAGATCATTTGAGCTGGGTCTCAAGAGGTGAAGAGCACTTGGCCAGGTGCGCAGGCGTAGTCCAGGGAAGGAGAGAAGGGTTTGCCAGGGTCGAGGAATGGAGTAGCTGAGTGCTCGAGGCTGGGGCACAGGAAGGGGCACGGACCCTCCCCACTGGCCTGCTCGGCAGGTGGTGATTCTGCCCCAGCCCTCCAGGCTGTGTTCTCGGCTGGGGCTCCCAGAGGCCACTGGGCTCCCCTCCACACACACAGGAAGCCGCTGTGAAGCTGGGGCTACGTGGAAGACCTTTTTGCCCACTGAGAATGAAAGATGATTTCTTTTTAATTGATTTTTTTTACCACTACGCACAGTAAAATAATATGAGGAAAAAAATCTACTTTGCAATTTTTCCATTTGTGAAAGCCGAAATTACACCTTGCAGACAGTTCCCTCCAAGCATGGACCACCCCCCTCCCTCCATTTATTCATTTCATTTCTGAAAGTGTAAGAAAACAAGTATATATAGATTTTCTTCTTTTTTTTTTTTTTCAAAATAGCTGGAAGTTTCATGATTTGGGAAAGGGGGCGAGGTGTGGAATAATTCCCCAACACACCAGGAACGCGGAGCCAGGCAGGGCACCGCGGATGAAAGGACAGTTCTGTAAATACACGAGAAAACGGCTCTGTTGGCACCCGATTCTTTTGTCTCGGAAATGCGCGGGTGACAAACAGGACATGTTGTTTTAACACCAGACGGCAAAGCAACACACCCTCCGTTGCTTGTCAGGGATGGCGGCGCTGCTGGCAGGCGGCCGGGCAGGTTCCGGTGGCTCCCCGCCCGCCGGCCTCTCAGAAACCAGCTCTCCCTCCAGATCGGCACCCAAGGCAGCAGGTGTCCTGTTGCCTGTGTTCCCGGTGAGCCTGTGGCCCCGGGCTTCTAAAGCCCAACAAACAACCTAACTGAATTCCGACTCAGAGGGATCGATCCTACGGGAACAGCTAGAACAGCCCCTGTGGACGTCCGAGGCCCCGTGTAGCTTGTTACGGGAGTCGAAAGCCTGCCCGTTCAGCGTGCTGTCCCCAGCTCACGTGGACCGTGCACAGGGAGACAGAACGCTGCGCATCCTGCGCTGCCCGCGCCCTCGGGTGGGTAGCAAGCACCCTTATGATCCATGGTGTCTTCGCTGGCTGGAGTTTGGGCAGTGGGTCGCCAGGTCTTTCTTCCTGGTCTTAGTTTGGAAGCTCTGCGGAGACCAGTTCCAGGTCACAGCAGCACCTGACAGGCAGGTGGTGGCCAAGCGTGGGGTAAAGTGGCCACGAGTGGAGCCCAACACCCTGCAGGGAAGGGAGACACACACACACACACACACACACACACACACACACCAGCTCTGCCTGCAGCATTCGCTTTAAACATTGGCTCCGTGGCCAGTCTTGAAAGAAGAAATCCCATCTCTCTGCAGGCTGACCTCTCCCCTGGCGCTCAGGAGAGCTGGGCGGGGAGGGGGGGACAGGGACTGTGTGCAGGTGCACACCAGCAGTGTCTCCTTCGCCCTCGATGAGATTGAGCATCGTGACACACATGGACCTGTCCCGGAAGGGGCCGCAGCGCGTGTACCCTGCGGTCTGACCTCTTCGCTGCCCCCTCCCCTCCACCCGTCCCCGCTCATTGTCTCGTTGTGCTCGCTGCAGGTGTGGAGGACCCGCCTCAGGCGGGGGCCGGGCTCCCCCAGCCGTCCACCATGGTGGTGGCACACCCCACCGCCCCCATCCCCGCTGTTGCCGCGCCCGCCGCCGCCGTCACGGCCACCGTTGTGATGACCACGGCCACCATGGACCTGCGGGACTGGCTGTTCCTCTGCTACGGGCTCATCGCCTTCCTGAGCGAGGTCATCGACAGCACCACCTGCCCCTCCGTGTGCCGCTGCGACAACGGCTTCATCTACTGCAACGACCGGGGCCTCACCTCCATCCCCGCCGACATCCCCGACGACGCCACCACCCTCTACCTGCAGAACAACCAGATCAACAACGCCGGCATCCCCCAGGGGCTCAAGGCCAAGGTCAACGTGCAGGTCATCTACCTGTACGAGAACAACCTGGACGAGTTCCCCTTGAACCTGCCGCGCTCCTTGCGGGAGCTCCACCTGCAGGACAACAATGTCCGCACCATCGCCAGGGACTCGCTGGCCCGCATCCCGCTGCTGGAGAAGCTGCACCTGGACGACAACTCGGTGTCCACCGCCAGCATCGAGGAGGACGCCTTCGCCGACAGCAATCGGCTCAAGCTGCTCTTCCTGAGCCGCAATCACCTGAGCAGCATCCCCTCGGGGCTGCCCCGCACGCTGGAGGAGCTGCGGCTGGATGACAACCGCATCTCCACCATCCCGCTGCACGCCTTCAAGGGCCTGCACAGCCTGCGGCGCCTGGTGCTGGACGGCAACCTGCTGGCCAACCAGCGCATCGCCGACGACACCTTCAGCCGCCTGCAGAACCTCACCGAGCTCTCGCTGGTGCGCAACTCGCTGGCCGCGCCGCCGCTCAACCTGCCCAGCGCCCACCTGCAGAAGCTGTTCCTGCAGGACAACGCCATCAGCCACATCCCGCACAACACGCTGGCCAGGATGCGGGGCCTGGAGCGGCTGGACCTGTCCAACAACAACCTGACCACGCTGCCCCGCGGCCTGTTCGATGACCTCGAGAGCCTGGCCCAGCTGCTGCTGCGCAACAACCCCTGGTTCTGCGGCTGCAGCCTCATGTGGCTGCGGGACTGGGTGAAGGCGCGGGCGGCCGTGGTCAACGTGCGGGGCCTCATGTGCCAGGGCCCCGAGAAGGTGCGGGGCATGGCCATCAAGGACATCACCAGCGAGATGGACGAGTGCTTCGAGGCGGGGGCGCAGGGCGGCGGGGCCAACGCCGCCGCCGCCGCCAAGACCACCGCCAGCCACCACGCCTCGGCCACCACGCCCCAGGGCTCGCTGTTCACGCTGAAGGCCAAGCGGCCGGGGCTGCGTCTCCCCGATTCCAACATCGACTACCCCATGGCCACCGGCGACGGCACCAAGGCCCTGGTCATTCACGTCAAGCCCCTGACGGCGGACTCCATCCGCATCACGTGGGAGGCCCTGCTCCCCGCCTCCTCCTTCCGGCTCAGCTGGCTGCGGCTGGGCCACAGCCCGGCCGTGGGCTCCATCACGGAGACCCTGGTGCAGGGGGACAAGACAGAGTACCTGCTGACGGCACTGGAGCCCAAGTCCACCTACATCATCTGCATGGTCACTATGGAGACCAGCAACACCTTCATGGCCGATGAGACGCCCGTGTGCGCCAAGGCCGAGACAGCCGACAGCTACAGCCCGACCACCACGCTCAACCAGGAGCAGAACTCGGACGCCCTGGCGGGCCTGCCCCTGGCGGGCATCATCGGGGGCGCCGTGGCCCTCGTCTTCCTCTTCCTCGTCCTGGGGGCCATCTGCTGGTACGTGCAGCGGGCCGGCGAGCTGCTGAGCCGGGAGAGGGCCTACAACCGGGGCAGCCGGAAGAAGGACGACTACATGGAGTCCGGGACCAAGAAGGATAACTCCATCCTTGAAATCCGTGGCCCGGGGCTGCAGATGCTGCCCATCAACCCGTACCATGCCAAAGAAGAGTATGTGGTACACACCATCTTCCCGTCCAACACCAACAGCCTATGCAGGAGCACGCATCCCATCGGCTACGGCACCACCAGAGGCTACCGCGACGCCGGCATCCCTGACGTGGACTACTCCTACACCTGATGGCCCCCCGCTGCCGCACCAGCCCCCTGCCCCGGGCCACCACCCCGCCCGCCTCTGGGCGCCCCCCACCGCCCAGCCGCCGCTGAGCTGAGCTCAGGCGGCTGCCATCCGAGAGAGCCAAGCAGAGAGATTATGCCTCCCCACCCCACTCCCCCGTGACTCTCCCAACAGAAAAGTCACCGATTCTGTCGAAAACAACTGTTGGGGGAACCTTTTTTCCCCCCCTCTTAAAAAAAGAGAGAATAGAAGGCAGGAGGGGGGAGGGGTTCAACGTCGTTGAAGACATCATTTATACGGAATGAGGCTGGTGTCGGGGAGGGAAGGACTCAAAATAAGATGGCCGGAAGGGTTGGGCTGGGCTGCATATATATATATTTGGGGGGGGGGTGTCCCATCCCCCACCTACTTCTCCTTCTTGAACTAGAAAGATACTACCTGTGCAGACGTCTGCATTCGGTTGGGGCCGTCACAAAAGCAGCAGCAGAGAAAGGCAGCCCACGTGCGAGGCCCCACGCAGCGCGCGCTCCTCGCCGAAGGGTTTCAGCCTCCTGACAAAGGAGTGGCGGGAGCGAGAAGATCTTTCCCGGGGAAGATATTGTCCCGGATTCTGGCTTCCGAGGCTCCTACCACCCCGTCTCCCTTTCAGATCTGCGGACACTGTGTCTTACCCTGCGGTCCCCGGAACAATGCAGCGTCGGTTAAAAACAACATGCTTTTTGATGGTTGTTGGGTTTTTTTTTTTATATATATACTGAAACCCTCTCTGGTGCCACACTTCTCAGACGAGCCCCGGCCCCTCGGAGATGTGGCTCTAGATACACAGGGGCAGACGGAGCCGCGCCCTGTCCAGTCCTCCTGGTACTTCTTGGGTCAGTTCTTACAATCTCCCGAGACAAATAGAATCGCGCAAACGTTGCTTTCTCCTAGAAATAATTGAGTAAGTAGACAGAGTGTGTCGGGGGTGGGGTGTGGGTTGGGGGCTGGGGAGGGGGGCGGAGGGGGGGACCTCAGTCTCCTGGGGATATTGCTGCTCCTAGAGGCAGAGGCGTATCTGTCACGGCAGGTGGGTTAAGGACAAGCTGGAAGAGGGTCACTTTCCCTTCAATCCTATCTCAGGTTGGCCAGAGCCGCCCACCCCACCCTTCTTGTCTGGGACAGACAAGTGCTCTGGTGGATGGGCCAGGTCCCCTCCTCTCTCTGTGTCTCCCACCCTCAGAGGCAATTACCGCAGAAGCGATTTCCTGAGCATTTACTATGTGCTCTGTGCCGCCTCCTGGGACGGATAATTGGTGCAAGGAAGCTTTTTTTTTTTTATGTCAGCTGATTAGGCCTAATGGTTTCCATGGCTTCTCAAACAAAGCCCAGAAAAAGACAGGAAAAGTCTCAGTGAAGCCCCGGGAGGCAGCACCCTCCCAGAATGCAGAAAACCCAGCCGTGCCCACCGCTGGGTGGCTGCCCTCGGGGAGAGAGAATGCGAACCGAGGTCTTCCTAAACACGCCGGCCCCCAAAGGGACAGTGGCAGGGGCCCTTCAGAAGACGGGAGCTTCTATTTCCTCCCTCTGGAACAGACATTCATCAACTGGCAGCGCAGTTTGGCGAGCCGCGAGATTAAAACGGTGGTGAACTAATGACAGCGGATCTGGAGAGCGGAGCGACGGGGCGCCCCGGGGTCTGATGTCCCCTGCATCCCAGCTCTTGGGGAACACAGGTCACCATCTGTCAACATGTCACTTGCCCCGCGCCGGAGACACGCCGCCTCGCAGAAGAGCCAGACACTGCACTGAAGAAGCAGGGGCACAAGAGGGACCCGGCTCCTGGCGGCACAGTGTTCAAAAGGCCTCGCTGCCCCTACAGAAGGGCAAAGGTGAGACGAGGCGTCTGCTCAGCGCTCCAGGGCAGCCATCGTGTGCCCAAGGGCCGGCAGCTTCCCGGACCTGAAAAGATCCCACGGGGCCCTTGGGTGGAGAGGCGGGGGGCTGGCAGAATCAGGACACAGCAGCTGCGGGGCCCGAGTGGGAGAGGGGGCAGGGCGGCTCTCACCAAGCAGGATCCCCAGCCTCCACCACTTTCATTCCCAGTGAGACCCGCCTTTCCTTTTCCGCACGGGACTCACTTCTCCTACCATGAGGTGGGGGGAGGAATGTCCCCCCAAGCCTTAATTTCACCACCGTAAGAAGCCCACCCTACTCTGGACAGCACCGCCCCTGACGCAGCCCCCCTCAGGGAGAAGCAGGGGCCCCAGGCCTGGGAGGAGAGTCGCAGGGGTCCTGGGGTGCAAGCTGAGGGTGGAAGTCCAAGATCCCTTCCCCACACCTCGGGAATCCCGCTTCCAGACAGTACCCCCAAGTCCTGAGTGTGTGCTGCATGCCTGGTCCCTCGGTTTCCCTCTAGGCCCCTGCTTGTACCATCCAGGCAAGACGTCAGGCAGGCAGGGGTGAAGGGGCAGCCATGCGGGCTGCAGGGAAGGCCCTGTCTGGCCTGGGAGATCTCAGGACCTGGTGGTGGAGAGCCAGAGCCAGCTGTGCCCAGCCACCCACCTCAAGCAGGGCACAGAGCAGCAGGGCAGGCCTCAGGCCCCAGCAAGGCTGGAGCACCGCTGAGGTCCTGCCTGCCCTCCCACTTGGCAGACGCTCCACTCAGCCAGGACCCTGGCCCCACTGACCCCACCCAAAGCCCGGCACCTCCCCAGCCCCCCAACTGTCTTTCGTCTCATTCCTGCCCCTCCCCATGCCAACACTTTGCAAGGGCCTTTTCTGAGGGCAAACCCCACTGTCAGCTGAGTCGAGCCACCCCCCCACCACCCAGGGAGGGGCCCGAAGCCAGGTCCACTCAGAACTCCATCCACTCTTGGTCCAGCTTTTCCGAGATGGCCACACAGGACCGGTGAAGGACGGTGTCTCCAGAAGCCAACCTCCTTGACCCGAGAGGGGCAGCCCGGGCAGCCCAGGGCCTCTCTAACACTGCCCGCTCTCGTCCACTCCACGGCCACCTCGCTGGCCTCGGGGTCAATGAGTCTATTCGGAGGCAGGTTTAACGGCCAGGGGAGGGAAGCCCAGACACTTCTTTGGTTTAAGTGGTTTACCCTTTGTGGTAATTAGACGTAGTGATTGGAGTCTCTTTCCTATTACATGGCAATTTTCCTTTAAATTTCCCCTAAAAGAAAAAAAAAGGAGAGAGAGAGAGAGAGGAAAGAGGCAGGCGAAGAGGCAGCGGGGCCCAGCATGTCATTTGCATTTTGCGAATGAGGCCTCTTATAAGCTCAGCTCAGGCGTGGGGCCCAACGTATGGAATGCTTAAGAGATTACTAAGAATAAAATCTATTAATTAGTCATACTCAATTCCACAGACATGATGTGCATCAAAAGCCTCTTTTCTTCCCTCCTTTTCCTCCCCCCTGCCCGCGGCCTCCATCTTCCCTCCGTTTGGCTCTGGCTTCCTGGGCCGCCTCCTTGTTGGCATGGCGGCGGCGGGCCCTCCCCCACCCAGGGCAAGGAGGCTGACTTTGGGCACAGGACCTGGGGCACCCACTCCTTTCTACTGGGCTGACTGGCTAGGCAGGTAGTGGTGGGGGGAGAAGGAGGGGGCTGGGCACACTGCCCTACCCCTGGCCTTGTGTCTCTCGAGTGAGGGGTTCACGGAAGGCTCCACTCACCTTAGCTGGGAGAAACCGAGGCAGCGGGAGGGAGAGCTGGCCGGGGAGGATGAGTCCCGAGAGGCCGTGCCGAGAGCGTGCTTTGTAAGTCCCCGGCCTCCACTTCCCTTTCTGCAAAGCGGAGTTCTGAGGAGGGGTCTGGTTGGATCCGGGAGCCCCAGAAGCCAAGCAGGGGCTCCTCCACTCACCATTCCCGATGCCCACCCCCAGAAGGTTCTGGAAGACTCTAGTAGACTCGAGGCAGGTGGCCCCGAGCAAGAGAGCCATCCCTGAAGGCCGAGGAAGAGAGAGGCCCCAGGCTGCTTGCCAGGGTGCCCAGTGGGAACTGAGGCTGAGGGGAGCTTGCGGACCACCCCCACAGCAGCTCACGGCAGCTGAAGTCCCAAAGCCAGCCTGCTCCAGAAATCCGCTCGAAGCAGAACGCGGCCCTCCGTAGCCTCACGCTTATGAAAAATACAACACGGAAGCTTGGATGCGGCAGACAGGCAGTGGTGAGCTGGGAAGGCAAAGGCCGGCTGGCCGGGAGGAGGGGGCTGTCGGGGATGCAAGTGGCCCCAGACTCCTCGGGCCAGACCGCACCGGGGGCCAGCACGTGGCCAGGGGCAGTTGTGGGTCTCCTCCCGCAATCGTCAGAGCAGTGGCACACTGGGCAAGACACCTGGCAGTGGCCCAGAGCCAGGGCGAGCGCTAACGAGCACTTCACAGCCCTGCCACCCGGCACAGGCCTTCCAGAGCAAGGAAAGGAGGCCGGTTTTTTTTTCCCTTAAAAAGGGATAAAAAGGCTCAAAAAATGCAAATCATTACCGTTTACAACCAAGCGAGTCTGCTAAATTGATTAGCAGAGATTAAACTCCTTGGAGGTGAAGGGAAAAGTGGGTTTTTTTCCTGCGTTCCCTGAACCTGCTCTGAGTGGCCCTGCGCAAAGCAGGGATTTTCCGGCGCCTGGCTCCACTGCAGGAGTGAGGGTCTCTGGGAGTGGACACTGCGTGGGCCCAGGCCCAGGAATACCCAGGCTACCACACTGAGAATCCCCAAGTGGGGCAAACAGCTCAACTCCCAACAGAAAGGCTGGCAGTTCAAGTCCACCCAAGACCGCAGAAAAACTACCCAGAAACCTGGTTCTTGAAGGTCAAGGCCCTGGGCACCCTGTGGAGCCAGTTCTACTCTGATGCACAAGGAGAGTCCACCAGTCGGAGAGACTTGACGGACAGGTGTGAGGGCCCCTCTCCACTGGGCTCCCGCCCTCTTGATTGCATCTGCCTTTGAGCATGAAGGACCCTAGGGGATGTGGCCTGTCCAGCCACCGTGTAGGGCCTGCAAGCCACAAGCTCTTCTGCTTCCTGTCTGTCGCAGGATGGCCCTGTCCCTGCTCTAGTCCCTGGACCTA